TGTGACAGCCGTTCCTCTATATTCTTCTTCAGCAGAAGACCTTACAATAGTGTTTTGTTTTTTAGATTTCCTATAAATTAAGGAATCACCAAGCTTTATGAAAAAATCAGTAACAAATCCTCTTGTCATCGGACAAGATACCCAATCCGAATTACAATAAGCAACCACTTGCTTCTCATTCACACCCTTAAACAACAAACCACGCCTGAGAATTTGGTGATGTATCTCACAATTCGCATAGTTGTCTCCATGTGGGTCTGCTTCGACTGTAGCATAAATTGACTGAGGTGATGCACAACATATGTAATGTCAGATCATACTCATCACATCAAGCTATAAGGGTGTTAACACTGGCTTTACTCCTCCCAAATCAGTTTCTTTTATAAGTTGTAATGCATACATTCTTTGATTTAGTAAGATACCTTCTCATCACTTAAATTCCAAGGAAGAATTTCAATTCATCCAAGCCTTTTATCTTGAAATTCTGGTTCAATATCGTTTTGAGCTTTTCTATCATTCTTATATTGTTGGCAGTTATCAACAAATCATCCTCGTATACGAGTAAAACCACTATCCTATCACCTTATTTTTTTGAACAATGACAATCATACCTACTCTATATATAACCAACTTTTAACAAAGCTTCTGTCAGCTTAGCATTTCATCGTCTTGAAGTCAATTCAAGCCATATAAAAATTTTTGCAGCCTACATACTATTCTCTTCCATGGCTGCAAAAATCGGGTGGCAATTCCATATAAACTTCTTCAACTAAATCCTCTTGCAAGAAGGCATTAAAGACATTCAGCTAAACCCCCTAGCAAGAAGGCATTAAAGACATTCATTTGACAGACATACCAATTGAACATGGAAGCAATAGTAAGAATGGCTCTAACAGTAATCACCTTTGCCACAGGAGAGAATATTTCAACACAATCAATTCCCTCCTTTTGGTTGTACCCCTTAGCTACCAAACAAGCTTTGTACCTTTCAACCTCGCCTGTAGCTTTGTACTTTACCTTGTACACCCACTTACAGCTAATGGGCACATTCTCTAGTGGTAAAGAAACAATGGACCAAGTATTGTTCGATTCCGAGGCACAAATATTATTCTTCATGGAACTAATCTAAATTGGGTTTTTAACGGCCTCAGAATAGGTTTTAGGTTAAAAAACAATGGATATGGCAGCAATATAATGTTGCGTATGTAAGGATAAATGATTATAACTAAAGGAAAAAGAAAAAAAAAACTGACTGGTTTATAAAGAATATTGATAAGAGCAAACAAAATTTTGTAATCGGGCAGAGTTTTTTGATTCACAAGTCGATCTTCAATAAACAACATATTCCGGTAACAAAGGTTGAGGAAATTGTACGCTAGACACAAGTGCAGAAAGAATTGGCAAGTTCACTAAGTATTTTAAGGGAGAAGGATCAGATAAGACAGATTGGGAAGGGGTATTCAAGTGTAAAGCGGAATCTGTTTGCAAAGGAGAATCAGACTGTGAAGGATTAGGATAGAGTCAATGTTGTTTTGGGAAAAAATATTGGTGGAAGCAGAAGAAAACTAAAAAGAAAATATAAACTCATGAAAATGAGCATTTCTGTTCACAGAATAAAGATTTAGATTCCAAGTTGAACAACACAACCCTTTTGAGTACTTGAATAACCCATAAAAATAGATGGGATAACCCTAGGGACAAATTTATCTTTATGATTTAGAGATGTTGCATAATCGAGGCACCCCAAAACCCTCATGTGTGCAAGGTTAGGTTGTTTATTATACAAGAATTCGAAGGGCGTTTTCCTATTTAGCACAGATGAAGGAAAACGATTGACTATGTAGAAGACTATTAAGGCACACTCATCCTAAAATTTTAATTGGAGCCTTGGACTGGAACCTAAGTGTCCTAGCAACTTCGAAAAGATTTTTATTGTTATGCTCAGATACCCCATTTTGTTGAGGAGTCTTAACACAAGAATCTTGATGTACAACACCAAGAGACTCAAAAAAGGATGAACACTCTGAATTAAAAAACTCACTACCATTATCACCACTGATGATATAAATTGTGACAAAAAACTGATTTTTTTATGAGAGCAAAAAAAATTCTTAAGAGGCACAATTATATCATACTTAAGTCTCAACAAATAAACCCAGGTTACCCTAGTGTAATCATCAATGATGAGGAAATAACGATGACCAGAGTGAGTTGATAGACAGTAAGGCCCTCAGAGGTCTATGTTTATTCATTGAAAAGGTTTTTCAAACCAAGACTGACTAACAAGAAAAAGAATAAGACATTGTCTAGCCAAAAGACAAATAGAGCACTATTATACATGCTCTTGATGAAAGTTTTCATGATGAAAAGGGGACAATTTATGCATTTTAGGAAATAGAGGATGCCCTAGACGAGCATGCCTAACATGAGTTTTATCGATAATTCCAAACTTACATCGAAAAGAGCTAGAATGTAAAAAAGTAATACAAGTTTTTGATAAAGACAAACCAAAATCATGTTGCTTCAACAGGAACAAGTAGAAGCCACCAGCCTGTTTACCGATCCCTTTTATCCTCCGAGTGAAGTGATCTTGCATTATACAAAAATCTAAGTAAAAAATGACAAAAACAACCAAGGTCTCGAGTTAACTAGGATACTGAAATGAGGTTATGATTAAAATGTGGAACATGTAAAACATTTTTAAGGTTTTACTGAGACTTAATTGATATGAACCAACAGGGGACGCGTGAGAGATATATCATTTGGAAGGTGGCTATAACTCGGATTAGCATTACAAGAAGAATTGAGATTCAATAAATACGAATCATACGATACATGATCCGTTGCTCTATAATCCAAGATCCAATTAGTAGTGCATTTAGATGAGGAGCATCGAGAGACTATACATGTCATATTGACAGATGAAGGGGCAGAAGGTCCTTGATTCAAGAGTCTTAGAATCTGAGCATATTGTTCTTGTGTAAACAGTGGCGCTGCTTGAACTCCTGTAGAGCTGGGAGTCTCTGAACTCTGACTTACTGCCATGGCTACTTGAACTTCCTTCCTCTTGTTAAAATTAAAATCCGATGAAAAATTGATTAGACGATAACAATTTTCCCTCTTATGACCGTTAACCTTGGAATGATCACAAGTCCCAAAAAAGACAGAGAGCTGGCATTGGAAAACATCACAGTGAAGTCTGTGATTGGATTAATCCCGTCCAAATAAGTTCTTTGAGATTCTTCTTGAATCAATATCATATATGCTTGATTCACAGAGAGTAGTGGCTGCATAAGAAGGATTTGACTTCGAATTCTCGTGTAAGACTCGTTTAATCCCATAAGAAATTGAAAAAGTTTATGCTGGAACAAATGCTTCAGATTTGCTCGAGTATTTTCACATTCACAATGTGTAAAAGGAACTACGGCACTGAATTCTTCCCATAGCAGTTTCAATTTGGTAAAGCAACCTGAGATTGAAGACTTACCTTGAACAGATGTAGCAATTTCACGGTGCAAGAAGTAAATCCATGCACCATCAACCTTGTTAAAGCGCTCCTTGAGATCCTCCCAAACGAGCGTCGCATTGGTAGCAAACACGATTCCACCTGACAGATCCTTACTGACCGTATTCAAGATCCATGAAAGGACTACAACATTGCACCAATCTCATTGATTCACAAAACTTTTTTTTACCTTCTCTATAACAATCATGTATGTTACATAATTATTTCGGTTGCAATCTAAAAGTTATCATCAAGATATTTTCGATTATAATCAAAATTATTATTAATTATATAACTTTTTAGGATGTACACCTAACATTTAAATTAAAACCTTCCGCAATATAACATTTTTCAATTATAACCGAAATTAGTATAAATCATATAACATTTTAGATTGCATATGATAGGTTAAAGATTATCGTAAAATAATCTTAAATTAATTTGTCGCACAATAAAAATGGAGCAGTTTAAAAGATCATATTGAACCATCCATATAATGGGCCATCATCGAGTTGCTAAATACATGTGATAAGTTTTATTTATTTTACGTCTTACCATCTTTTTTGATTAATATGGGATAAGTATTAAGTAACATCTGTTTAAAAATTTTTTTGTGTGCTTGAATATCAGATCGTTACGACCAATCTTTGGTCCGCTGAGCTCTCAAACCCCGCGGCCAATGCCTTGTTGGCTCAGTGGATTTCATATGTTAATGCTATATCAACTCTATGTGAGGCCACTGGTGCCGATGTTTCCCAAGTAACTGATGCCGTCGGTAAGGACTCGAGAATCAGAGCGAAGTTTTTGAGTGTCAGAGTTGGCTTTGGTGGATCTTGTTTTCAAAAGGATATAGTGAATTCAAGAAATGGTGACAGGGATTCAATAGCGGTATCGCGTCCACTACTGACCGTGATACCCGCAATGATCACAATAAAATCTATTATATTTGTAATCGCGATAAACATCAGTCTCAACCGTATTTTAAATCCCTATATTAGAGGTGTAAACGAGCCGAGTCGAGCTCAAGTATTGTTAAGCTCGACTCAAACTCGAAAACTTTAAACATAGGCTCGACTCGACTGGAAAACTCTCGAGCTAAAAATTATGAAGCTCAGTTCGAACTCGAAATATATTATTGAAACTCAACTCGAACTTGAAAATGCTCGAACTCAAAAAAATTTTAGGAGCTCTATTGAAGCTCGACTTTAAGCTTTATTCAAGCTCGAACTCGATTCAAGCTCGAACTCGATTCAAGCTCGAACTCAAACTCGAATTTTAACCTACAAAAATCTTATATTACATTTAAAATATATAAATAATTTTCCCTTTAATCAACCATCACCAATACATTATAACATGAATGTATGAACTATAAAAAATCTAAAAAAAAATACAATTACAAGAAATTTAGGATAATTAATATAAGTTTTGAAGTTTTTTAAAACTTCAAATGTATTGAAAGTTAAAAAAATATGGCAACAAAATGGGAATTTATTTAATTTACCCTTACATACAAAAGGTGGAAATAAAATCTAGACCACATGCTACTTCAACCATTTATTTAATAATATTCATTTACTTTCAAATAACTCAAAGCAGAAATGAGAAGGATCCTGATGATTTTTTTATCCACTCTTCACAATCTTGTGTTATTCTTGATAAGGCATTCTTTAACCGATCTAGGAATAAAAAAATTAGGAAAATGCAGAAATGAGAAGTGAACACATAATTTAAAGACAAATCAATTGATTTATAAATTTCCAGTGTATTGAATGAAAACTAACTTACAATTAAGAGATTCAGTTGAAGTGTTTGCACTTGAATTCATGTTTTGCAAACCAAATGTTTCAAATATATAAGAAAAAAACAACTCAAATAATTGGCATATGCCCTGCAACAATGTACTGAATCAGGAAAAATAATTTAGAGGGAAAAGGAAAAATAGTGTTCAGATTGTATGTGCATATGAGAACGTAGAGCTTAGGAAAAGAGAGGTTTAACCAGTACACACCTTAAAAAACAATGATACATCATCCATTTGATAACCAAACCGAACGGGTGAGAAGGCAACCATAACTTGTGTGTAGAGGCTTGAAACAAATAAAATAATTTAATGATAATATGTTTTGAGGTTATCATATATGAAAAAAAACAATGCATAAATCATCTAGAAAGTTGAAATCAATGACTTCATACATGCATCAGGTATCAAGAACAAGGGGCAGAGAATAAATAACTGAGTTAAATAGCCTTCTTTAAACTCCTGACAAACTCCTAACAAGAGCGAATACAGCTTTTGAAGGAATATTTATTTAAACATAAACAAAGTCATAAACTCATAAACAAACTCACTAGAGGGGAAAGGTACTTTTCGATCGTGGGAGGTATACGTGAGCAACGAGGAAACTATAATGGTCAGTTTTTAAGTGACAATTAACCACTGGGGAAAAGGAAATCACATAAAAAAAAAGAGGAATGAGCCGAGGGACAGCAGCGATTAACCGAGAAACCCATTGATTCTTTTTACGAGAATAGCAAAACATAAGGAAGGAATTTGTACTGTATTTTCCTGCTATTTGAGGATCAAAAGAAACAGAGAAGCATTTTTTTTCATCGAACCCAAGCAATGCACAGAATCAAAAGGGTATTTTTTTAGTTTCTATTCTCCATTGCTTTCTTAATTTTCTTGTGTGTGCATATGTTTTGAATCTAAACCAAGTCAAAGGCATAAAGGAGATAGCTTAAATGTTTACCTTAGTTGTAGTTCATCCCGCTTTGCCTCCTAGCCGTTCCAGCCTCACTGTCAAAATAAGGGGTTGTGTTAGTTAAAAATAAGTTCATTATAAAATAAGAAAAGGTGGGTCTTGATAGTTTACCGTGCAGTGCGTCGGAGTTTAGAGTCGAACTCGTGGACCTTGGAAGTTGGGGGTCGTTGCATGTAGTCTTAGTGTTTGGGGGTTTTAAAATAGTGAAGATAGGAGAGTTTAGGGTCAGTTAGGCTCGTGTTTGGGTTAACCAGTAGTCGCTAATGGCAGTCGGAGTGCTTGGTTCTGAGTTTTCACGGCGGCGTTGCTAGTGACGGGGATAGGGTTATGTTTTCATGGTGGCTGTGGGTTTTGAGAGGGTTTTCACTGAACTTTCAAGCTGATAACTAGGGCCATTATTCATTTTAATCTTTATTGAGATGTTCGCTTTTATTCAAGAGATTAATGTGTACAAAGCAATAAGCAATGAAAGACAACAGACATCAGAGCAAAATATATCTAAGTGTCACTATCTCATAGACAATGACAAACCATGTTAAAATATCTAGGGAAAGAGAAATGACTGTACATACCTTCAAATCCCCAATCACAGCTTTGAGTTGCTCATTCTCATTCATTAGCTTTGCAATTTCATCAGCTTTTGCCTGAAAAACAAATTGAAACTCGAAATTCAAGAACCATAAAACTTTAACAAGAAAGGATAATAATAAAACAAGATTTCATTTCTTTTGTGCCACACATATTGGACACATGTAGCATAAGACACCATGATTAAATGCATAAATAAATAGTAAAGTTCATGGCCAAATAAATCAGAGGAATATATGCAACCCTTCTAAATTTAGTAGTAAAAGCATCTTCAAATAGGAGGAAATGGCTGAAACCTAAAGTTTAATCACAGAAAATCAATGTTGCAGAGAATGACCTAAAGTTCAAATAGTGAAGATATGAGAGTTTAGGGTCTGGTTAGGCTCGTGTTTGGGTTAACCAGCCAGTGGAGGCCACGGGGCCTTTGGGGTCTCGGTTGATTAAAGAGTGGAAGAGTCGAGAGGTGGTTGCGTGGGTTTGGAGGAGATGAGAGGGCGAGAGAGGACAGTTTGATAGTTAGAAGAAGAGAACGGCGCATCATTGTGTTCAATTCTTCAAATAGGATTAAGGTAAAAGTCTACCCTAAAATGTTAATTTTAAACGTTATAGATTTAGCTCAGTTTTTGTTTCGGCAACTAGGGCAATGTCGTCAGCGAAAAGTATACACCATGGAACACCGTCTGGTGTCGCACAATAGATGTTATCCATAATCAAGGCGAATATATAAGGGCTAAGAGCTGACCCATGGTGGAGTCCGATTTCCACCGGGAATGCCTTGGTGTCGCCAACTGTAGTCCTGACGTAAGTAGTAGATCTACAATACATATCACGAATCGTCCGTATATAACCAATTTCGAGGTTTATAATATTATTTGGATTACGTGAATTTAATCATCATTCTAAAGTTAGTATATTTAGCTTAAATTATTCCTCACATTTAGGTTTCAATTAATTTAGTCCCTATTTAGAATTGTTTTCTTTAATTAGTTATATATATTTATTTTGCATATTGATATGTTTATGTATAAGTATATGAATGATTTATTTAGGAGTTACATAACATCATTTTGCATAATTTGTATGTTACCTTCATGTGCATAACTTAACTCCTATCACATAATCAGATTTAGGGTTTAAGGTTTAATATTTATGGTTTAGGGTTTATGATTTAGGTTTTATGGTTTAGGTTTTAGATTTTTAGGTTCACTGCAAAGACATTAATTAATCGATTTGGTATCAATTTATGAGGTAAGTACAATATAGTATCTTGATATTAAATACTCAAACCCTTGATATTTATGATATTTGAACCCGAAACCTCAAAATATAACAACAATTTAAAAAATTAGTTATTAAAAATATTATCATTAGAAATATATTAAATATTTGTCATTAGATAAATAATTTTTTATTAATTTAAAATAAATATAATAATATTTATTCAAAAATAATTTTTAACCATTTTCAATTTTTCTATTGTTTGACTGTTTTTTCTTATTTTTTATTTTATTTTTTACGTTGTCAAGTACTTATGCAGTAAAAAGTTAAAAAAGAAAGAAAAAAAATCAACCAAACACGTGTAATCTAACATGTGCTTAATTAAATGAGCTTTTATTTTTTTTAGTAACATACAATGTAACAATTGGACTTGGATTGGTTAATTAAAAAACATTAAAATTTGAGCGTAGTCGTATTATAGAATTATTAATATATTTTTAAAATTTTATAATTATCAATAATGTATTTTTAATATATTTTTAATAATGTAATTTTAAAAAATCTAAAATTATAATATAACATTTTTTCGAGCTGCTCACGAGCTTTTCGAGTCGAATATCGAGTAGCTCGTTTTGGCTCGTTAAGAACTCGAGTCGAGCTCGAGCACGAGTCAAGTCCATTTGATCCGAGTATTTATCGAGCCTTGATCGAGTCGATCTCGAGTAGCTCGCGATCTGTCTCGTCTCATTTACAACCGTACCCTGGATGAGGATGAGGATGATGATGCTATGCATTCTCACAAAGTGGGATGAATTTTCGACAACATGCAGAAGCCTGCATTTGTGTTGGACGGTTTCATTGTGTATTCCATCCTAGGGGTGTTCATTCGGTTAAAACGGTGGCCGACCGAACCGAAATACCCTTAACTGAATTAATCGAATTTTTTTTTCTTTAAGCGTTAACCGAACTTTTTTATGAAAGTATTAACCGAACCGAATAAATTTCGGTTAATTTTCGAATTAAATGAAATTTTTAGAATTTTCGAATTTAATATTTTTTAATTAAAAAAACAGTTTACAATATCTAATTAATTTGATTCAAACATTATATTAAAATAAGATATTTATATCTATCAATTTAGTTCAAAAAAACCATCAAATTAGAAATTCTACAAAATAAATCAGAACAAAGTGCAGAACTGGAAGCATAATTTTCCAGTTTACTGACCTACTTTCATTAGTTACAAATAAAATATACATGGAACCAGCAAACTATCATTTTCCAGCTGCTTTCATTCGGTGCTTATATGTACAGAGGCATGGAATCAGACATTTTCGGATACACAAATATATTTGTGATCAATTAGTAACTAAGAATTTACAACAATACAATACCAAACTAAATTTGGTCCCAACTAACTTAAAGTACACACTTTTTAAAAGAAATCTTGCAGTTAAATGAAGCTTTTTACAAGGGTTCAAAGTGTATATAACACTGTTAACCTCTAAATGCAGTAATGCACAACTAAATCACTTCCTACCATATAACATGAGTAGGAAATAACATTGAACTGTAAATGACAACAATTATCTTTACCATCTAATAGTTACATTCATCACTCCAATTAGTTCTTATAATCACTCCAATTAGTTCATGAATTACATGCAGTTCGAAACTTTCCCAGAAATATCAACGAATTAACACCTATGGCCATGAAAAGGAAAAATAAACCCAAAACGTGTCCAAAATAAGGGGAAATAGAAACCTTTAGCGTCAAATTTAACCATCAAACCACCATATTTCCAAATACATTTCCAGATGGAAATATAATTTATTTATTTGTAAGTGCATGGAACAACCACCTATATGCAATTAAACACTATTAATCCCATCAATAGAAGCAAGAGAGGCTAAACTTCTGATTTCTATTTAAATCGTGCTAACATACAGTCATCTAGCCGAGACCCGAGAAATATATAAATACCACACCAGAGTTTGTTTAACGAGGAAAAGATTAACAAACCTGGATCTTGCAACAGCGAGATGACTACAGAAAACTATGCTGAGAGAGAAGAGAGGCCAATCGATAGGGTTAATCGACAGATTGAGAGGCTTCCAGAGGTAGAACGAGATTACTGGTGAGATGAGATTGAAAGGTTTAGGCGTTTTGCCGTTTAGGTTTGGGTTATTTTACATTTTACATTTAGTTTTCAGATTATTTTAATTAATTAATTTTTTTTGGGGTTTGAAATGGGTTGGGAGTTGGTTGGTGCATTGGGTTAATTAATCCAATTAATCGATTTCAAATCGAATTAACCGTTAATCGAATATCAAAAAAACTATTAACCGTTTCCTGATCGAATTAATTCGATAACCGACCGAATTAATCGAATTAATTTAATTCAGTCGGTTAATTCGATTAAAACCGAATTTTGAACGTCCCTATTCCATCCTTGGTTGAAGAACATGCCTGCTGTGGCGTAAGATATCAGTGTTAAGGCTCTAGAGATTATACAACTCATTTACTTCTTTAATTTCCTTTTGTTTTTTATTGCTGGTTTTTGCTTTAGATGCAATTTTACGATTTAAAATTAATTTTGAATATGAATATTACTCCAAATATTTTTAATTTGATTTTTTATATAAAACATGTCATTTGTATTTATATTCCAATATATGTCTTGATATAAAAATAAGTGATCAAATTGTAATGTTTTTTTTAAATATGTGTATAATTTTTTTCCGGTCAATCTAAGTACGTCTAATGCTATAAATATTATCATTTTAAACACTTGGATCATAATTACCGTTAAATTCCTCCGTTAAATGACAAATGTCATATTTATAATTTTTTATTTTTTAAAAGAATTAAAAATATTATTTTAAAAAATAAAAATATTGTTTAAAAAAATTAAAAAGAAAAAAAAAACCAACCACGTAATCCCCCTCCCTCCCTGCCCCCGCTCCCTCCCCTCTATTCTTTGTACAACCTTCCCAAAAGGCCAAAGGTTAATGGGATTCAAATGGCTGACTGCCACGAACGACTTGACAGTAAACGACCAACCATCACATCGACTAAATGGCTGATTACCACAATCAATCTAATTTTTTTTTAAGGATTCAAATGTTTAATATTAAATCTTGTATTTTTACCGTTGTTAGATGTTCAACCGATTGCAAAAATATGGGAGTTTTGATTATAGGAGGTTAGTCGATTACACTTTATAGGGTGTTCGACCAATTGACAAAATTAGTGATGACTAATGATTATAAAAAAATTAAAAAGTTTTGGGTTTTTTTTAAAGATTTTAGAATATTTTAGGTTTTTTAATTATTTTTATTTTAAATAAAAATTCTCAAAATTATTAGAATGTGATATATGTCACTTAATAAAAAATTCTTAATGACAATTACAAATCAGACACCTAAAATAATAATGTTTGTAACATTAATCACTTGAATTGATAAAAACAAGTTTAGATATTTATTTAGGAAAAACAATATAATTTAAATACTTATTTTTACATTAAGTCTCAATGATATTGAATCATATGATAAATATAAATATAACTTATTTTCTTCAAACACTTGCATCAAAGCCCAATTAACATAAACAAAAGAACGACAAAACTAATTAGTAGTAAAGGGTTGGGACAATATTAGTAGATTGTGAGAAAAATAAAGCAAGTGATAATCGAGTTTTTATGTTCATGGAATCACCCGGATGTTGATGAAGAGCAACAATAATTTCAAGAATGAAAATCTATTTCCCAAGTAATCGACGAGCACGCTGGTTTGCACCTCGGACTCGGAAGTTTAGCTCATCCACATCATCTTGGAGACCGTTCAGGCTTTTGTTTTGCCTGCGATATAATCATTGAAGCCATGTTAAGGTAATTGTCTAGCTGAAAAACACGGAGGCAAAATGCACCAGAGATCATGGCCGGAATCGGAAGATCGATGAATTGAATGATTGATTTGCTCGTATTTTAGCAATGTAAAAGTTCAACATACACCTGATTTCGACCCCAGAAAGGGGGGACCGGGTTACGATTTGAGAAAATTAACAAGAAACTAACCTCTCGATTTCAGAACCCATATCAACGGCCATATCCTTCAGCTCTCCAAGTAGACCACTTAAGTCGGAGAGGGCATCATCTTGCTTTGATTTCTCTAACTGTTACAACCCCAGGAAAAGGATACGAATTACATATTACAGTTAGTGGATTGTTTCATCCCTTCATGCACTAATGATTTAAATCTTCTTCTTTTAAGAAAAGAAAGGTATTTTTTAAAGCAAAAATCCGGCAGCGCACACACCTCGACTTTTTGAAATGCATCTGTAGGCTCCGGGGGAGGTGTTTGAGATTTTGAATGTCCCCGAGGAGCAGGATTCAATCCAAGCTTCTCCCTCTGTTCCAAGTGGGCACCCCTTCTTTTAGGCGAATCATCTGTGTTCGAGCAAGTTACACGTATATTTCAGAAAAACACAACAAATAGACCGATACAGAAACAATCCCGGTGTTCCCCAACGACCTCTAATTATATGAAATTAGACATTCTGGTTTTCTATCACATAGGACGGAAATGAACAAATAATTCAAAAAGGGTGTGGAAAGAAAGATGACCTCTTGTTATAACGGGGCCAACGATTTGACGAGTCTTCTTTAGCTTCCAGGTTCTAGAAAACATGCCTCCAAGGCTTCCCAGAAGCTTCTCACCCTGAAATTAGAAAGAACTACATTCGGACCAGTCCGTTTAATTGCATAAGATCAATCCAGAAGAGGAAATTTAAAAGATTCGTCAACTTTTTGAAGGTCAAGGAGCATAAAGGAGCAAATTTTCATGGAATACCAAAGTTAAAACATTGTGCTACTTATTTCAAAAACTAGTTCCTTCCTACATTGAACCCCATGTAAACTCTCTGAAGGCGCACAACTCATGAATTGTAGCGCAAGTATGCAGTCGAGATGACCAATGATGTGTCAAAGCAATGGTCTAGCAACAGATAGTAGGCTAGAGACATTGCAAGTAAGACAGCAGCTTTTCCGAACTGTTGTAAGTAGGCTAGGCGAGTGATTTTATATGTCTCAAGTCAATTTCTTAAAACGTAGCACATTGGACAAGGTATAAAGGGCTTCCAGATTCGGAAGTCCCGAATTGACAGCATCGACATTTTGTAGTAAGAATGTTATGTCTAGGGGAATACTGCCCGCTAACTCCTATAAAAGTCTAAATTCGATCATCATTGAGGATTTAAATTATAGATGACTCCTTATGATCATTCATGCTAATAACATAAACAAGCCCAAATATCATCATATATCAGAAAATCTAAAGTATCCTAAGGCTGTTCTTCAACCATCTAGCAGCAAGTTTTTATATCAAAAACAAAAAGACATACCTGACTAAGTTCACGATCAATGCCAGCAGCCGCATCATGTGTCCGGGTAATTTGTTCACCCTGTTGATGTAGGGTGATCAAATTCTTGGTGGCACCTTCTCTCATTTCTTCTGCAATCTTCACACAGTTATTGACAGTCTTTGTAGTCTCCTTAGCCTTGTAGATAGCATAGTTCTCCAATTCTTGCACCGATTGGTTCTCTAGTCCTCCGGCATCACGGAAATCGTTCTCATACTTGTTCCGTGATGCGGAAGCTTGCCAATACAAAGAAGAGGAAGAGTTCACTTTCTCTTTGTCGTCATCATCGAACGGATTGGTCCAGAAACTGGGGGAATCCAAGGTGGGTTCAGAAGAAGTTCTTCTGGTAGGTTTAAGGGTTTGGTTGTTGTCCAATTCATCATCAGAATCAAAAGGATTTGTCCGAGGAGCAACACTCCCGGGATCGACAGTGTTTTGCTTGGTAGTCTTCACTGGAGATCTCTTTAAACCCAGCATTCTTTTGATGAGTTACAAAAAAATCCTACTTGTTTAAGCAGTTGACTGGGAGCAATCAAATTAATCTGCAAAGCAATCCACCATCACAAATTACAACATAGCAGCAAAGAAATATACATCAATAATCACATACAAAGTAACACAGATCAAGAACAGCAATAGCTCATAATCAGAATGAGAAATGTTACAAACCTAAAATTTATCATCAAAGACTAATTAATTGAACTTAGTTGACTTGAGATTTTTCGTCACTCTACAAAACACCCAGAGATCAGAAAAGAAAAGAAAAAAGGCACAAGATTCCCTCATTTTCCACGGCAGGCAACCAAACACAACAAAGAAACCAATGATGCAAATAGCATAAGAAATCCAAAATAAATGAACATGAGAGATAAAAATTACTCATATAATACAAGGAAAAGAGAAAAAAGAAAACTGGGTTTTGTTTGGTTAACCTGAAAGTTGATTTGTTTGAATAAAAGCAAGAAAGAAAATCAAATCAAATCAAAACATCCCATTTGCAGGAAGGAAGAAATAACAAAGGAAGAGAAGTTGAGAGCACCTGGAAATGTAACTGCGGAGAAGATATTGAAAAAAACAATTAAGAGAAAAAAGAAATCAAACTACAAAAATGCAGAAGAAAACAATTTGAAAGAGTGAATGTAAACAAAATTGAGGAATTTTAAATAGAGGGAGACGCATGAAACGCCTCTTAGCCCATAAATTTGAAACTTAGAAAGTGGGCAAATTGTAATTTGCCAAATATTTTTTGAAATTTAAATTAAAACAGCTTTTCCCTCTTTACATTTTTATTGGTATAAAACATTTCAATTAATTGGTATAATTTAGTTATTATTTAAAAATTAATATTTAATATATTATATTTAATAATTTAAATTGCTCACCAAACATGCCAATTACAGTTGATTTCAATTATAAATATGCACACTACTTTATTATAATTATTAAATATTTAAAAGAAACAATTACCAAAAAAATGTTAAAATTGAAAAAAATAGGAATTTTAAAATTAGACCACAATCCCAATTGATTTCAATTATAAACATTTTAAATTATTTTTGGGTTTACAAGGCCGGAGGCCAAACTTGATGATAAAACAATTAATTATTAATAATTAAAATAAGTAATTGCAATAATAGGATGAATGAAAACAAAGAAGGAATTTGATGTAATTTAATGAGATATTGGTTTAATTTCTTTCTTTTTTTCATTTTAAGTATATATTTATTAAAATTTTGTCTTGAATGGAATATATATCTGTGTCAATTATATTTATTTGACATTGATGAAGATTTCTTTTTATTTTTCTTTTTTTTGAATAAGGCAAAGCAAAGGAAGCTAAATTAAGCTTGAGTTATAGTAATAAGAACACTCATATCACGCCTGAAGACCGGCTAGGAGCGAGGAGAGAAAGGTAACATCGTGCATCAAAGGAGAAGGTGGTTTTGCGACGCCATCAGCAAGAGAGTTAGAGTCGTGAGGAACTCAACTAACTTCAGTCACCCATGCCCGCTGGCGGAGCTGGAAGATGGACCGCACCAGAGAATGGGGGCTAATCAAACTGTTGGGATCAATGACTAGATTCACAGCATTGGCACAATCAGATTGAATCAAGAGAAACTCAAACCCGTGACTCCAAGTGACCTCCAGACCTTGGAAGATTGACCATAATTCAGCTTGGAAGGGCGTTGTGATACCAACAACTTTATGAAAGCCGATTATCCAATTGATATCATGGTCGCGAACATCAGCACCAACATAATCGAAGTTTGAAGTTGGAGAGACTAAGTCATCAATATTAAGACAGAATCAACCAGAAGGTGGTTTTTACCAAGGATGAGAGTAGGTTTCTTAACATTCGCAGGTTCCATAGGGCGAAAAGAACAGTGGAAATACTTCGCCCAGGCGATACTTTGGTTCAGGATCGAACGATCGGGGCAACAACTGAAGTTAAAGATAAGATCATTCCGTTTCTTTCACATCTGCCAAGCGAGGGAGGAAAAAAATAGGTTTTAGGGGATGCCAAGAGTTCCACTGATTGTTCTCCGATGGACGTTTGAAAGAATTCACTGATCCGGGCTAGAAAAATAGAAGTTCAGCTTATGATCAGCAGGAAGAACGTTGTCCCAAAAAGATCAAGCATTCGAGAAATCATGAAGAACATGAATCATATATTCCTCTGGATTATCGCACCCCTTACACGAGGGGTCATCAGTGAAAGATCATTTGGAGCGCACCAGTTTCGTCATTAATTTGTGGCAAAAGGTTGTCTAGAGAAATATGCGGATACGATGTGGAACTTTGAGCTTCCAGAATGATTGCCATATGGAAGATCGCTAATCCCAACTATGTTCGGTTAAAGAGCAATAAGTGGAATTCGTAGTAAATTGATACTTCAGACCACAAATCCCAATGCAAGAATCAGACACATCTGAACTTGAAGGCGGTCGGATACTTTGGATGAATGGAATAATAGAAAACAACAACAAACAATTGAGAGCTTCAAGATTCCAAGAATCATCGAATTAACAGTCAGATCTTACTTATTATTATTATATATATATTACTTGTCGAAACGGTTTTTTTCCTCGAGGTGAGATTTTGAAAACCACGCAATTTTTAATTATTCTCTTAAGATTACAACTTTAAATTAAAAGTGAATGTGATTATTTAAAAACCTCTCGTTTCGAAAATTTGGAAATTCCTTTACGATAAAAATACGGTTCGAGGAGTCGCCACCAATCTTTGATTAGGGTGTGATTGGGCACCCAAAAACGTTTTGTTATTTTAAATAAAAATTAATTTTAATTAAAACAACAAATTTAAGTTCGCGTTACCAGAAAATGAGTTCGGGAGTCGGTTACGCGTAGGGAAGGATTAACACCCACACAGCGCCCTAAATCGATACCTAGTCGATTAATTAATTGTCTTTGCAGTAAAATGTACAAGTTCAAAATTAATTTGATTTACGATACCCTAAAATAACATTTTTTGAAATTTTGGATGAAAGATAAAAATATTTAATTATTTCCTATCGAGAAGAAATGATCTATCATACCTTGAAGCAATCGATTCTTACTCCAATCGAAATAAAAAAATATTAAAATTTCATTCTAAATTTCAAAATAATAACACCTAAAATAATTTTTAGAGATAAAATAATAATATTTAATTATTTATGATCAAACATTATTATTTTGAAAACCCTTTAAAAACACATGCAAAAGTAAAAAAAAACCTATTAAGCAATTGATTAATTATTTATTTACCAATATTTAATGAAAATAAGTGTATTCAATTAATTAAATATCTCGAGACGAGACCATAGATTCGATCTAACTGTCTTTTCTCGATGAATTTAATTAAAAGAATACGATCTTTTCCTCATTCCCCAAATTTTAAAAATAAATCTGTTTTAATTGGTGTCACTTATGGAATAGACTTTCATTTTAAAATTATCGAAAGTAACTTTCTTATACGTTAAGACGGTCACTTTACGACAATATTAAAATGCTCAAATATTACCCTTAGTCAATTTATTTCAATTCAAGTCAAATAATGCTCATGAGGATATCATGCGAAATTAATTAGGACTAAAATAAACTAAAATGCAAGCAACATGCAAAAATTTACAAAATAGTAAATCACATCAAATTTCATGCCAAGGTTAAAATAAAACCAAATAAACAAGTGAATAAACAATTTCAATATTAAAGGCTAGAGTTGCAAATAAATAAAACATAGGGCTAAATTTAAATTAATTAAAACTCTATGGCCGAATTAAAAGAACTGAAAACATATTTTGGTGCTCAAAATATAAATATATCAAAATGCAAAGGGCTACAAATAAAATATTCCTAAAAAATAATAATCAGCCTAAAAATGAAAATTACATAAATAGATCCTTAAGGGACTAAGATGTAAAACACGCACAAATCTAGGGGATTTATAATGTAATTAACCCCTAAACTTTATCTATAAATACCATTCATTTAGTTTTTTTTTCATTTTCATCAAGACATCAAAAAAAAAAAAGAGAGAGAGTTAGGAAGAAACTCTCCCAACATGGCTCGGCCGGCCACCACGAGTTACCACCGAATCCCGTCCGGCTACCGCTCCGACCACCACGCACGGTGGCCGGAATTCCTAAAATTACCAAAAACCAACCTCTCGCTTAGATCTAAACTCCTATCTAGTAATTTTCAACTAAAAATGACCCAAACACCTCTAAAACGAGCCTCAAAGTCTCTCGATCTTTCGATTTCTCATGCACTCCGGTGACCGTGAAGACTTTCCCGACTATGGTAAGTTTCCTTCTATTTTAAACTCTCGGTTTTCTCTCTATTTTATGTGCAAAGTTTCTATTTTTTTATCCTTTATTCATGTTCAGTTTTACTTCGAATATAAACAAATAATACTAAAAAAAATACATAATATACCTTTCGAATAGGTATGTTTTATTGCTTTACTGCTTTTCCGGAAAATTCCAACCCCCCTATTACAAATTCTTGTTCGGGTATTTATACCTGAAATATTACACTGTTTATTTTTTCATATCTTATGACTAAAATAATTACTTCATTGCTTGCCTTGTAGATCCACTTATGTTTGTCTTGTTGGTGGAGATAGTGTTGGTAGTGGAGATAGTTGGTACTGCTGCACATGGGTGGTATTTGGCGTGGAGGGAAGAGATGAGTACATGGTAGGGATATTAAAAGATGATATGCAATCACATGGGATAATGGTGGGGTTTTTTAAATAATAAAAAATGGTATTTAATTGGGGTAGTGGGAAATGGTGGAAAAATGAGGTGTTTACAGCTGCCCCTGCCCCTCTTTGCCCATTCTTGTGTCAATAAGAATAGGGCATAGACGAAGAGACAATGCATTTTTGCCTTGTCAACTTCATAGTTTGAAATATGAAAAGGGATCTATTCCGCTGTCACTCAGGGAATATCAGATCTGAGTATGTTCATTCATTCCACTGTTCTTCAAAGAGAATTAAATTAGTGTAGACTTGTTCCACTGTCACTCAGGGAATATCAAATCTTGAATGAGAAGGATATGTTCTGCTTTTGCTGAAGGGAATATTAGATCTGGGGATTTGATCCATTGAATCAAAACAGACTTGTTCCACTTACTCTGATGGGAATATCAAATCTTGGAGAAGTTGATCCATTGAATCGAAGCAGACTTGTTCCACTTACTCTGAAGGGAATATCAAATCTTGGAGAAATTGATCCATTGAATCGAAGCAGACTTGTTTCACTTACTCTGAAGGGAATATCAAATGTTGGAGAAATTGATCCATTGAATTGAAGCAAACTTGTTCCACTTACTCTGAAAGGAATATCAAATGTTGGAGAAATTGATCCATTGAATCGAAGCAGACTTGTTCCACTTACTCTAAAGGGAATATCAAATCTTGGAGAAGTTGATCCATTGAATCGAAGCAGACTTGTTCCACTTACTCTGAAGGGAATATCAAATCTTGGAGAAATTGATCCATTGAATCGAAGCAGACTTGTTCCACTTACTCTGAAGGGAATATCAAATCTTGGAGAAGTTGATCCATTGAACCGAAGAAGACTTGTTCCACTTACTCTGAAGGGAA